GCCCCGACAGAGGCTCCACAGAATGCCGCTTCAAACGCGCACACAAGATACACCTTGCAGGGGATGAGCAGTCACTTCATAACCCCCTCCCCACTGGAGGTTTGTGATTTCTGGGACATAAACCTCCTAGAAGGTCTTCAGAGCCTGGCCTATGGCTCCCAAGGTGGCTTGCCTATCCCCTACCCACTCACCCTGAGCAGCGAGCTCAGCAGGACCTGCCTATCTGTTGCTAAAGCCTAAATTCAGTGGAAATCAGCATCCATCCCCATTACAAGGTTAGTCTATAAATCACACTGTCTCAGGAGTAGCTACACATCATTTAGTTGTCCCTGCCATGGGAATGACACGACGGGTAGAGCTGTATGGGTGGCAGAGAAGCAGAGATCACTGCAGCCATTCCAGCTGCACCTACTGACGACTGTGAGCCAGAACCGTGAGACAGATTTCAGGAGAAAATGCCTCTACTGCTCTTCTACACCAGCACTCTAGGAAACAGCCTGAACCCTACGTAACCTTGTCGTGCATTTGTACTTAATATTACCTTACAGAAAGACTGGCTCCCATCTGTTTATATGCTTTTGTCAATCAGGAAATGTACTGTGATCATCCAGATTTGATTGTACACTTAAAAATAAACTAGTAACTGAACACAGACTTATTCACAGTCTGTGTTTATGGGTTTACGTTCAAATGGTGAGTTTGAAACTGTTCTGTATTTATTAGTATGTCTAGTTTCATTTGACAACAATTATAATTCTAAATTCCTCCAAAGTAAGAATCAAAATGCATGCTAAGCAAACTTGACATATGTAGGATACACTAAAGAAAAATACCAAGATATTTTTAAATTTAAAATGCACTGTTTAAGAGAACAATGAAAATATTGCCTGTCAATTAATTCTTCTGCCTCTGATCACAATCTCCTTCAGCAGCTATAAGATCTGAATATTTCATATCTTCTCCTTAGAGTTTGGAAGAGACAAATTTCTAATTCCCAACTGATAATCAAATTTGGGTGAAACTGATACACTGAAGTCAAGTACCTGAAAAAGCTGACATGAAAAAAAAAGCCACTTCATCATTTCAAAGAGCTCATTTAGCAGCTTAGGATCTCCTAGGTCCAGCTCTGGGTCAGGAGGCTGATACTCTTTTACACTTCCACACAGCAGACAAAGCTTGAATTTTATTTGGTTTTAACTGACTTTAACAGATTACAGTAGAGATGGACATCCTATGTAGAAGCCTAATTTCAAATTCAGCTTTGAACAGATCCGATTTTTACCTTCAGACTTCTTACATTAAAAAAAAATCATGGCTTTTCATCCACTCTGCTGAAGTTGAAGGCAAGATACTTGGCTTGCTGACCAAACGGGGCACATCCACCCGCTGCATTCATAAAATAAGGTTATAGGCAGCCAGGATCTGAGCCTGGGGACCTCCTTAACACAGTCACTGAAAGCACTGACCATCATAAACACTGGTGTATACAAGGACAAAGGGACAGAAGTCCCACTTATTAATGCATCTTCTCTTGTGCAGCTAAAGCACCGTATGCAGCCAGCTCTACAAGCTGACAGCATATAAAAGCAGCAGGTACTTACAAACTCTTTGCAGACAGTAAAGGAAAAAAAAAAAATCAGAGTTTGAGCTGAAAAAATGAAACACATTACCACTGCCAAGGTGCACCAGTCTCCACAGAACAACAGCTCCCACCTGACCCCACTTGGATTTGGATCAAATTCCAAGCACACAAGATAAGCTTTAAAGAGATGAGAAGGACCAGCCATAAACATCCCTTACTGCCAACCCAGACTGACCCTTGGCTGGCTAAAACACTACACAACACAGACTGTGCCTCTGTTCAGGTTTCCCCACCTATCCATCTGGGGCAATGTAGCTAAACCCCCCACCTTCTTTTCTCTCTGGGATGGTCTCATTATTCATAAACAGATTAAAAAAAACCATAAAGCTAAGCTGCTTCTTTGTGCATATAAACATGCACTTTGATTGAGGGCTGTATCTGCTGAAAGCCATCAGAAGTCACAGCTACAAGGATGCTACCAGGGATGCTCTGTGGGTGTAGGGCTCGGAATGTGAAGGACCCTCCATGCCCGGCCCAGAAGTGATAAGGCAAAGGGCAGTAGCCATGAGCACTCAGCCAGTGGTCCCAGCCACTGAAGCCACAATGCAGCAGATTCCATTTCCCAGGGGAATACCGCTGTCCCTGACCCTCCTTCACCTCCAGTACCGAGGCCATACAATGAGACCTCAGAAAGAGATCGGGCAGCATGAAAGGGAATGGAAAGAAAGAGTCCTCAGGGCTCCCAAATGATCACGAAGAATCTCCCCAGGATAAAGCCAGCAAGGGTGCTGGCTGCAGAAGAGCACAAGTAAATACAGCGGAAGGGGAAGCAGATGTGGCAGTCACACACACCTTAGCATGGATGAAAAGAGAGCTCTTCCAATAGCTTCTGGTAAGAAGCCAGAATATTTTGAAGAGAAGTTAGAGAGAAATGTGAAGCATGTTGCATGGTGGCAAATGCACTCTGCAAGACTTTTAGGCTGAGCTGACTAAATTTATTGCTGTGCCTACCTGCTTAGAGTAACCTGGATCACAGCTTAGCACTGTACATGCAGCCTCCTCATCAAATCAAGGCATTTGAATTTCATTGGATCTAGACTTCTATTGTGCAGGTATTAAAACAAATGCAAAACGAGGATCGGGATCACAGTGAAGATCACCTCCTTTCCTATCTCCCAGGTCTGTCCTCAGACCAAACCTCCAAAACCTGTCTGCCACTGCTCCAGTGGAAGATCCTAAAAGCTGGCACAAAACACTGCTGAAATACACAGCGCAGTTTGCTGACCACAACATACGGACCAGAAGTAAAGAGGACAAAAGCCAGTCAGCAAAAAGGTAAGATATAAGTAGGGAAATCAACCAAAGCCTCGTTTTACAAGTTGCCCAATTCCAGCAGGGATCTTCAGCCTCTCCAGCTATGCTCATTCCCATGTATCAAGAGTCATTTCTTTATTTATCAAACTAATTCTTCGGTGAGGGTGAAAGGGACTGACAGTCCTTTCCACACACAATACAATGCAGACAAGCACTGAACACAGCAGACTGGAAAAACAACATTGAAGAACATCTCCACCTTAAAGGTGCTATCTCACTAACAAAATATATAGTGGATCTGCATTGGCCCAGACCATTACTTTCCCTGGCAAGGACTTGGGGACAAAGCTCCTTAAAAGAGTAGTAATCATATTCCACTCATGCTCCTTTTTACTGCCAGCCGTAAACTAGCTCCACATGCATCATGGTTTTGCATCAAAATGTGCACAGACCAAACCCATCTCCAAAGGGACAAGGTAGATCCAATTTACAGCTTTGACAGGTCTGTGCACCCGAGGCGGAGCGTGCAGGAAATAGCCTGACATCTCACTTGGGCAGCAGTTAGGATCCTGCTAACAGAACTGGATGCAGAGCCACAGCAGTCTTCCACAAACACCCAGCAAGAGAGCAGAGAATTTGCTGTCCATGTTTCAAGAAAAACAAGAGGTGGGCAGCTTTCACCAAGGCACTACTGGGGAAGAGAGGAATCAAGTTTGATCCCAAGTTGCAGCATCCTTTACAGACTAGAAATTCTGTTACCAACACAATATTAGGCTGCTGGGTTGATTTTTTTTTGTATGTTTGTTTTTCTTTTTAGCACAGTTTTCCAATTTAATTGGAAAACCTAGGCCCATCCTGCTGACAACTGAAAATACATTTACTAATATGCTCTATGGTACTATGTAAGAACTATCTGAAGAAAAACCTCTGTACTTCACCCGGATCTCTGTATGCCTCAAATGGCAGGGCACAGGAAAACCTCTCTGAAGCTGAACTCTTCCTGTCTCCTTACACTCCAGAGTCAACATCCAGGCAAGATAACTTAGCTCCAAGCTATTGTTCTTCTCTACTTAGAAACACCATTATGTTGGATGTATTCATATCATTCATACTTGTCCCGGTTTTGGCTGGGATAGAGCCAATTTTTCTTCTTAGTAGCTATATTAGTGCTGTGTTTTGGATTCAGTATGGGATTTGGTATGAGAAGAATGCTGATAATATACTGATGTTTTTAGTAGTTGCTAAGAAATCAAGGACTTCTCAGCTTCCCATGACTTGCTAGTGTGCAGGTGCACAAGAAGCTGGAAGGAAGCACGGTCAGAGCAATGGACCCTAAGCAGCCAATGGAATATTCCATATTGTACAACGTCATGCTTAGTATATAGATGAAAGTTGACCAGGAAGCTCAGGCTTTTCCAGAATTGTGGTTTCAGGATTTTCTTTCCTCTGGGATCACTAGGTGGGAACGGGCTGGGTACTGGTCACTGGGTGGTAAGCAACTGCATTGTGCATTGCTCATCTGTATGTTCTGTTACTGCTATCATTATTATTTTATTTCAATTATTAAATTGCTTTTATCTTAACCTATGAGCCTCCTTACCTTTACCCCTCCAATTCTCTCCCCTGTCCCCCAGGGTGGGGGAGCATGAGCGAGGAGCTGCATGGTGTTTGGCTGCTGGCCAGCTTTTAACCATAACAAAACTATTCTTTTCCTAAAGCTGTTGGCTACCAGCAGCCTTTTTCCTTGCAGAATCAAACAAGGCTGCCGTAAGTACTCTGCTAATGCAGGTTCCCAGCAAAACTCTGTAGACCTTCCCCAGTTCAGGCAGATGACAGGTATACATGACTTAAAGATGTTTTCGATAACATGTGAATTGTCACGTCCTTGATGGGAATCAGGGTCCTTCACTTCATTCCCACAGACTGATCCCAGCACTGCTTCTGAGAGAGCAGGTGACTGACAAAAGCCCTAGTGGACCAGCAACAGAAAAGAGGGGGGACAAACCAGAGAAAACAAGCAAGCCATCACTGTGTCCTTTCCTTCCACCTCTCAGAACAGCAGCAGCAACTTTTAAGGGGATAATTAACAGGATTGACTGTTTACCTGAGGATGAATCTGTGGTTTATCGCATGTAGCCTCAAAATCCAGCACTAAGAAGTAGTGATATCTCTGTGGAGGGAAGGATGACATTGCTGCCATGGAAGCTCCAAAGCCGTGGGACGCCAGTTTCCTGCTTACGATGGAGCTGTCTTTGAGAACACCAGCAGGGAGGAGGGAGCACAGAGCTTTTCTTGCCCTTGGAAGTAAGTTTTGGGGAAACTTTGCTGCTCCAGTATGGAGAAGTGCTATCATTGAACATCCAGAGGCATCTGAAACTGAAGAGAGACTCACGTTACTCATGCACACATACATCTAATCTCTGCTAGTATCTCCTCACTGTCCTTCTCTGACATGGATTTCTTCTGTTTCCTGGTGGAGGTTCCAGCATGGTAAACCTGAAATAACACAGTAATCTGCTCTAAGCACAACAGACAACACCTCCACTGAGCTCAAGGTGTCCAGAATCACAGGCCACTGGAAATTAACCTCCGCAAGCAGCTCTAAATTAAGAGCTATGAGACACACAACAGTCATGGCTCCAGGCACCAGATAAAACTCC